CTCTTCAATTACATTTAGATGTTCGAAAAATCAGCAAACATATTTACGAAGACTTTTGAAACTAGTGTTTTGTACAAATGTCATTTTTGCTCCCCATCAAAGATTTCCTCTCAAGTATTCAACTTCAAGTTAGAAAAATCTTGTGAGTACACTTTTAGAGAAAGTATCAAGTTGTGATTCTAACTGCCTACTTTTCATTTTCGTAAGTTATTTCTAAGTGGCCAAAAAATGAACAAACATTTTGCACGGAGACTTTTGCAACAGGGATTAATTCTTAAGAGAGGGTCCATGACAGCATCAAGGAACCGAAGCACTCGTGAAAATTTAAATTTTTGATTTTTTATGTGTATTCGAAAGGACAATGTCTGAAACTAATAACCCTAAATTTTTAGGGTGTAGGTGTGGGTGTGGGTGTGGGTGCGTGGGTATGATTAACCCTTGGAGTACCGGCCTCTTTTAACCGTGATTTTGATGACATGTGTTCTTTTTTAATAATCCTTTTACTTTTCAGCCAATATTTTCGTAAGATCTGACCTTTTCTTGTTTTATTCTATAGAAAAAAATGAGAACGATGTTCCTTATTTAGAACAATTAATACAAAAGACACGTTTGACAGAATGATCACTACAAACGAACGAAGAACAACTGAAACATTGAATTGATGTTTTCTTGTCCGTAGAACGTTCACAAATGGAGCACCTTTTTCGTTTTGGTTGAGTGGGATTTTCATTCGCTTCTGCCGGATCGTTCTTCGACACAGGATAACCGACGATTGCTAAAGCATTTAGAATATCTGTGTTCAAAAATTTCGAGTTCTTCGAACGAAAATCCAACAGATGCGATACCAGTGCTAATCCTAATTCTTCCAAAAATAATCGACGTTTATGATTTGTATTCTGATTCCATTGAGGATTTTTCACTTTCCAGACAATCAGAGCATTTATGGCAGCAATGTCTATCATCCCATAGAAAATACAAACTGGCCATCGCTTTGTACCTCGTTTTACCTGAAAAGTAAAATAAGCTATAGAAATACTGAAATATTTTTTACCGTGTATTTATGACACATTTGATCAACAGTATCGACAGCCCCCTTTGTTTTGTTATAATCCAATATAATGATCGGTTTTCCAGTTTTATTGTCCACTTGATTGTCGTGATGTTTTGAGGAGAGCAATAAAACAGCTTTATTCTGTTTTGGGACAAATGAAACTAAGGTTAAACCATCTTGGAAACCAAAGAGCGAAGAACCCACTTCACGATTTTCGTTGGATTGAAACTCGATAGGTATTTCTGACTTGTTTTTTCGCAGTGTTCCTATAAGAGTCAGATTCTTTGTTTGAAGCGTTTGGGCTAATGGAACACTTGTGAAGAAATTATCTATTGTAACGTTTCTTTGGAAGCCGTAAAGTGGTTTGAGTAATTCTAGAACGACTTCGGCACCTATCTGTGTTTGTCTTTGCTCATTCGGTTGTCGTCCAACGTAAGGAAATGCATTGAATACATAATGTGAGTCCACATCAACGCATAGCCAAAATTTTAATCCGTATTTGTCAGGCTTTTTTGGCATATATTGACGGAAGGAACATTTTCCTCTAAATCCTAGTAGTTGTTCATCAATAGTAACATTTGATCCCGGTGTGTAACATGTTTGTAAGCAATTTTGGAAATATGACCAGATTTCACGAATTGCTGCAAATTTATCTGTTCGTTTTCTTTCTTCCCTTGTTCTTTTGTCGTCAAATCTCAAACAAGAAATAATATCCTGAAAACGAGTTCTTGACATAGTGGCTTTGAATATTGGCGGTTCTAATGGACTTCTTCTCCATAAGCATTTCAGATCGATCTTCGATTTCCCCAATAAACCAGCAAGCAATAAAAGTCCAATAAATGCTTTCAATTCTATGAGTGTTATTTCTTCAATTTTTTTCGTGGAGGTATTCTTGTGAGTATACTCCAAGTTTGAATAATCCAAGATTTTTTCCAGAAGTTTGTTTGGCATAAAACACATGAATGCATCTTCGACAGATGAAATATTTTCACTGGTATTTGTAAGACCAGCTTTTTGAATAACATCATTCGAAAAATCATTTTTCGTTGAATGATGAGGAGTTGAGGACCAAATCATTCCAGAACGGGAAGTATACGAACTTTTCCATGTGGAGTCATCGTCTAATTTTAGGTTTTCTAAATCAATTTCATCATCATCGTCGGATGTTTGGCTTTCGCCATCTCCCGTTTCCGAACCGCTGTTTGCATCATCGAAATAATCACTGTCGCTTCCGGTTTCACTTGAACTGTCCATAATCTTTATGAAAAATATTTCAATGGATTGAAAATGCACACCCCTTTAGATCAGAGAATGACTCATTTTATTAGACATTAGAATTTTCATTGTTTCTCCGTTTTGTAAAAAACATATTACTGATACAATGTTTTACTAAGGGGGCGCACTAATATGGAGAAAGAATGTATTTCGTTCTAGATTCATTATCATATATCTCTTCGTAAAGGTTACTAGCTGCTGCTGAAAACTGCGAAACAACAAAACATGTTTAGCATTTTTCGGAGATTTCGAGCGTGGGGTCAAAAATGACCCCGGCTGGTACTCCAAGGGTTAATAGAAGAACTACACCCACACCAACACATACACGCCAAACCCACACCCACACCCTCACCTAATTAGCCTGCCTATGGATTGTTTAAGCTAATCAGTTTTTGTTGTTGATTTTGACTATGAGTTTTTGTTATTCTATTCAGGAGTTATATGCATTTTACTGGAGCCATTGAAATCGATCTACTAAACACTGGTCCCTTTGAATTAGAGTAGTTCAGAGTGACCAGAGTGTG